AAGCCTAAGCCTAAGCCTAAGCCTAAGCCTAAGCCTAAGCCTAAGCCTAAGCCTAAGCCTAAGCCTAAGCCTAAGCCTAAGCCTTAACAAAAACTATTTTTTCAACTGAAGAAAGAATTTATGATGCTCGAAGGGAAAAACTAATAAATGGCTACTTTCACATCAATTATATGTTTGGAAGAACAAAAGAGTAAGAAAGTACATTCTGTTTCCAGCTGAAAGCGTTTGTTCCAATTCCGATTTTCAATAGATTCAGTTATAGCTCAACAACGTATAGTTTGTACTGAATAAAAAAAATTGGTTCTGTGAAACTTTGTCTCTTTCTTTGTAATAAATTTTTACTTGTATCATGATGTATCACGAAATCTACTTTATATGTACGTTACAGTATGCCAATAGATCATCGCCATTTCACAAGAAAGTTACATCGCATCGTGTGTGGTAAACGTTTACCTCAAACGTGGAATACTGTTCTTGTCTTGTTGTCTATCCATATGTACTTGACAGTTCCAGTTGTTCTTGCGGCTGGAATAAATAATGATCTGAAAGGTGTATATATAATTTTTTCTGTATTCATATTCATTACACCAACATTCCAATGTAACTGCCAAATGTTTATTATTGCAGGATTGCTGCGGCCTTACTGGAAAATTCAAAAGCGGGGAATACTCCTAGGTGAGATTGATGATGATCTTCTTGAGTTATTTTGTGAAAAAGTTGATGAAGCGATTCGCCAAAGCCCAAATGTTTGTTGAGAGATATTATCTTGTCAATTGTTTGTTATAATTATTAAAGCTAAAATGTAATAGTGGCATTATCAAGCTGTAAATAAATGATTTTACATTGTATTCTGCTACATAAACTATAGCTGTGGCATGCACTGTTTTTACACACTCCAGTGTTCCCGTTGCAGAACAAGTTATGTCTATTCAAACACAACGAGTCGTCCATATATAATATTTATAAAACCTGTTTCATCAAACTTAGTTTTTCGTTGTATGATAATGTTAAAAAATGGTTATAAACTCTTTTCTTAAGCTGTTTGTTATTTGCATTAATTAAGCTCTTTATCCTCGCTTTTAAGTTTCTCAAATCACGGTAGCTAGATCAAGTTTTTAAACACTTTATCGATGAGTAGTGCTTCAAGCGGTGGAGGTAACGATAACTTCTGTTTGAAAATCCCTGGTATATTAGGTGGAGCAGATTCTAATGATCATCAAAAGTCTAAAAGGCTGTTTGCGGCAGGAGTATCAACTGATGACTCGGATGAATTTCTCGAAAACGAAGGTTTATAACATGAACACTTTTTACCCTTACTTTACCGGTTTGATTGATCATCTTCAAGAAAAAACGTATACAGGCTGATAATATATTTTAGGTGACTCCTATAGTGAAAAGGACGACAGATGTAGTAGTCGAGGAGGTTGTTTGAAAATAGACAAAACTAAATCCTCTTTTGATCCTGCTTGTACGATACGTACACCCCAGCAAGTATTCTGCATTTTGGGAATCTTTATGGATAAAATTCTGTAGGTCACATGGTCATTCACAGCCAAGGCAGCTACTCCACACTCACAGCCCCCTGAACAAAATAAACAACACGGAAACTTCAGTGAGTTTTTCTATAACTTTTTTACATATACTTCCTCTAGATGATCCTAATATTTTGAAGTCTTCTCTTGTTGAAAAGAATGTGCTCGCTGCTTCTTCTCATGACTATAATATAGGTAAAAACATTGAACGCTAAGTTCCTAACGAGTTCTTCAGATTTATCGGTTCGGTCTACCGTTTGCTCAGGAGAGACAGAACGTCAGCTCTTCAATCCACCACTGGCTCCTGCATTGAAGCAAAATGGTTGTATGAATGGCTCAGTCAAGGTTCTTCATTTCTCTTTCCTTCCATTCCATTGAATCTTTTTTCCTAGGAGCATGCCATTCATCGTGGGCAACGATCCATGTCTCTTGGGGGACCCGCACACGAATCTCTTATGTCACAATTGGCTGCTAGACAAGGGAATACTATTGATTTATCTCCTGGTAAAAGTATTTTAACACTAATATTCGATGGAAATATCACTTTCGGTGTTTTAGCGGACAAAGTTTGTTTAGTTGTGGATGGTAGTCGTTTTCTGATTGATCCTATACTGCTTTCTGCAAAACCCGATACTATGCTTGGACGAATGTTTAGTTTACGAATATCGAATTCAGTTGGGGCTAATCTTATCAATCCAAACGAGAGAGATGAATTTGATGCAAGTATAGATATTCGATCATGCAATGCAATACCTTTTGAGGTGGCTGATGGTCTTTCTGCTGCATGTTTCCGAGCAGTTTTGGAATATTATGCTCATGGTGAAATAAGGTGTCCCTCTAATGTATCTGTTTCGGAACTCAGAGAAGCATGTGATTATTTATTAATTCCTTTTAATGCGCAGACTGTGAAGTGAGTTTAATCGTCAAGTTAAAATGTTGAATTTTGCTGATAGATGCCAAAACTTGCGCGCTTTGCTCCATGAATTATCGAACGAAGGAGCACGGCTTCAATTTTCACAATTTTTGGAGGAGATTATCCTACCACAGCTAGTAGCGAGTACAGAAGTTAGGCACGATTCAGTTTATTTCAATACATTTTTTTTTACAGCATGGCGAACGTGAAAGTCATATAGTTGTTTTACTGGATGATGATGCTGTCGATTGGGATGATCAATTCCCACCTCAAATGGGAGAGGAAACTACTCATGTTGTATATAGTACTCATTTGTACAAGTTTTTCAAGTACGCTGAAAATCGAGATTGCGCAAAACAGGTGTTAATTCCTTCATTTACCTTCAATATCAATTTTTCTTCAGGTTTTGAAAGAACGAGGATTGAAAAAAATTCGTTTAGGAATGGAGGGCTATCCTACTCATAAGGAAAAAGTTAAAAAAAGATTCAACAAAGCTGAAGGTTAAGATATATCTACCTCGGTAATTAATAGATGTGTTTAGTTATTTATAATTATGTTCAACGACCTTTTGTTCATTGCTCATGGGAAAAGGAAGAAGCCAGAAGTAGACATGTTGATTTCGCCTGCCCCATCGTTAAGGTATATTGATGTTATTGTAACTCATGCTTTCTCGTTTTAAGTCGAAATCGAACCCGAGCTTAGCTGCAGCAGCCTCTGATCCTTTGCCTCAACCAGCACCTCTTCACTCCTCCCGTGAAGGTAATCAGTTTGTAGGAGTAGGTGTTAATGTAAATCCTAATCAAGTAAGCTCATTTCTGAAGCAAAAGGGAGAAAGCCTCTTATTTTTTTCAAGTTCGGACAGCCAATGCATTCACCGCCAGTTGCCATGCATCAGTTGCCAGACCGAGGAGAGGAAGAATAGTACGGCTGTATCTTCCTTGTTATGCGGAGAAAAAAATCATATCTCAAAAATGTGCTGGAAACAGTACGGAAAGGAGTTAATCGTTCTCACATTTATAACTTTTTTGTAGTCTAAGGGTTTGAGGTTTCGCTGACGATAAATAGCTGTAAATACTAAAGCTTTGAAAATGCATTTCCAGTGGAAGCCTTACTGTTCGAACCAATATTTGTTGGAAATAACTTCTGTGAAGATACGAGTTAGGGCCTCGAGAAATTTTGAACCGAATTATTCTGTTCTGATCAAATAAATGTTTGAAACAAGTCTGTAAAGTATGAATTTTGAGCCAGGCAGGACGAAAGCTTACGGAAAAGCTTTCCACCTTGTACATTCGAATGATACATCTGTCTAGAAACTCCAACATGCGGTGAAAAAAGTTTGTGTAAGAGTTTTCTGAATACATACAACACAGCATCTGTTTCTGTTTACATCCTTTCTTCGAATGGTTGGATGATGGGCTTTTCTAGAGTTTTCATTCTCAAATTATCAGGAATGAATGGGATTGTGATTATAATATCATCAGTTTTTTTCCAAACGGTTTGTGCCTATAAGATTTGAAAATTGATCTATCTGTTTCCAGGCTTTTGCTGTGAGAGGAACTATATTGTCAAAAAAAAACAGCCAACTTACAATCGAACGATACAATAGTGAAGAAGAACTGGATGCAATGGAAGAGCTTTACGAAGACTTAAAGTCAAATGAGAACCATAATGTTTACGAACAGGGGTATGAATATTCCCACTTCTTCTAAAGTTTACTCTACAGTGAAACGAGAGACTTCTTATATTTTCTGAAGACAATTAAGTATGATCATAGACAATGTCCCAAGCCTACTGTGCAAGGTAGGGTCAAGTGTTCGAGTTGAATCTAACGGCTAGTCATTGTTTCTTGCCTAGGACCTGTAGCTATAAATGTCAGTATACTCGTTAGCAACATACGAGCAGTCTCCGAAGGAACGATGGTAACTCAAAGTATTTTATCTAGCTTATTTCCTTACTTGAGGATTACAACATTGAAATGTTTTACCGAGAATATTGGACAGACAGTAGATTATCATATTCGAAAAATATTTTCAAAAACAAGGTTAAAGCTGCACTTTTCTGCAAATTGATAAAAATTTTCCAGTCTGAAATATCACTGCATGAAAGCTATTCAAACTTCTTGTGGCATCCTGATACATTTATGCCAAATACTATTGCTTCTAAGAACCCGCGGCAGCATAGTATCACTCACAGATCACTTTTGAGGTGATCATTCTGTGTTTATATTGTTCATACTGTATTTAGGCTGCGAAACGATGGCAGAGTTTTGTACAGCCGTAGGTTATCTTTAATCGTAACTTGCGGAATGGATTTAACACTTTTCCCATTCGATTCCCAGCTCTGCAAATTTGGGATAGAAAGTTGTAAGAACGTTTATTCCATGCTTATCTACATGTTATTCTTGTCTATTGTCAGACGGCTACACAGCTGAACAAGTCCATTATTTTTGGTCAAGGGAACTTACAACTGCTCTCACGATGCATACGATTCGATTACCAGATTTCAGAGTGAAAGAAGCTTTCGTAACAAGTCGAGTAGAAAGCTATGCAACAGGTAATGAAAATGCTTTGATCAGTTTCTTAGCAAGCTACTAAAACTCAGGAAACTACTCCCGTCTTTATGTTTGCTTTGTTTTTTCAAGAGCAGCTGGATTTTGCTTTCTACAGCTTATTATCCCTTCTACAGCAGTGGTGATAACTTCTTGGGTTTCACTGTGGATGGAAAACGAAACTTCGTTCCAGGTTTCAATTTCTATCAAAACTTACAAACAAGTGATTTTCAGGATATGATATCAATAATTCTAACAATAACATTCTTGCTATTCTCATATAATGAGGTGATGCCAAGAGTCAGCTACATAAAAGCAATGGATGTCTACTTAGGGAAAAATTAATTTATGATGTTTTTTCATAACATTTTTTTGCAGGTGTGTGCTTTTGCATTGTTTTTTTCTCGCTGATCAAGTTGGCTCTGGTGAAATACATGAGGCAGAGGTTACGCTCGCCAAAGTTTGGATTTTTTTTCATCAGTACAAAATAATCTTTTGAAGAGATACAACTGTCGTTAGAGAAATCATTCCTCTAACACGTGGGGGAAATGATTGTGTTGTTTCGAAACTAAGAACAGGAGGAAAACGGAGTCTCAAGATAGTTAAGTGAGCACTCTGAAAATGTTCAATATTCCGAATAAATTAACCTTAGTTATCAAAATTTACAATCATCAACAGCTCTATGTATACCAGGGCACGAATCTAGGCAATATACAACACAATTTACTCCCCAGTTCATGAGACGTTTTCATTGGATATCACAGGCACGTAATAACAATTGCAAACGACGATACCGTTTTAGATTTCATTTTTCTTTGGATTCGTCGTATTCTGCTTGTTCTATTTTCTATTGTACCCTAACATATATGCACAGGTAAATCTAAGAAATTATTGAAAAAAGATCCGACTTTCCAGTTGATCGATTCGGACTGTGAAAGGAAGTCGTCCGAATGGTTTGCTGACTTGACTTAAAAAAGAAAGATATTCAATTAGAGTGCAACATTTAATAAAAACTCAAAGTACTTTTTCTCTTTTTCGAATAATCGGACCACTTCAGATATACTCTTTCATTTCTACATTATCCAAGGTGAGAAAATAAGGCTGATGAGCACCCAGTCATGACTTCAGATGACCAAGCACTTAAACTGCGTCAAGATATGTGTTTAACATATAATAGTTACAAAGCCGCAAACTCGTAATCAAAAAACCGCACTCTCATAGTGTCGTAACATGTAAGACTTTTTTCGCTGTGTAAAGAAAGACCTAATAATGAAAACGAGAATAATCGTGAAGTGAAAGAAACACACGTTATGAAACAAGGAGAGCGTAAGTAAAAAAAAGAACTTTCATATTAATGATATATGTTTCGTGCTTGACTTTGAACGGAAAATTGTTCTCACACAAAATGAAGTTTGTTTTACTTAATTTATCAGTTTTTTTATGAATCGCACATCACATTTCTTCATAACCTGCAGTATTGACTATCTATATATACGTCAACACGTATTGGAGTCGAAGCTCGGCGTGATCGTGGTCCGAGTTGATTTGAAAACTTGGCCGAATGCCTCAATCCATGAATTGCGTGATCATATTTGAAGAGTGTCAACTCAATTTTGTGTTTCCAGGTAAGCATGTCTAGCAATCAATCCGTCGCAGGGACAAAAGTAAGAAAAAGAAGATGTGCTGTGCTGAAAAGTTTTTCTATCTCGAAGGCATACACAGATCCTATGTTCTTTAAAACTTTTAGAGAAAATTTTTTCGGTATTTTGTTTTCATCATTCCTCTGATATTGTTTTGAAGACAGAAGGCCGTTTCCACATTATTTATTTCAAAATTTCATCGAAAATTCATCAGGGGTTGTTGAAGATTTGGAATTGGAACTGCAGGTTTTCTTTCTTCTCAAGAACCATTTACAAAAGCAATATTCAGGAATTCCCGAATTGGAAGCGCAAAGAAAATGATTTGTATTCTTTGTATCAAACAAATGATTTCAAAAGTTTTAAAACTTTTCAATATCCTGAACTTTACTCCTTCCGGTAACGAAAGTCGAGCAATTTGCATAAAATTTTATTAATATAGGCAGTTCTTGAGCCAAGAAGTGAAGGTATTTTTACAAAACATAACAGAAGTGGAATTAATCGAGGAAATAGATGTTAATGGGAGTTGCTACTCTGAGTTTGATGGTCTCCTCCCTCATAACGATTTGGTAATGGCTTTCCTCAGATTAGGTTATGCCTTTTTTCTAGATAGAGACAAGGAAATTTGCATTTGTTTATTACTTGAGTCCATATGTTTGGAAAAAGGAATATGGTGGACAGCTTATCTTATTCAATTCGGATAGTAAGTAGATTTTTTTCTATAATTTTAAATGGTCTAATTCACTAGATGAGGAACTACCAGTAACGGAAGCGAAAGAAATATATCCCGCCAGGAATGCTCTGATGATTTTCGAAGTTTCGAATAAGTATTCTCTCTTTATTTATTGTGCTTATGTTAATTACCGCTTTAGATCATGGCACGCAGTTAAAGAAATTATGACTAAGAGTTATCCAAGACTATCTATTAACGGATGGTTTCACTCTCTTAAACCACAGCATAAAGCAGTATCGAACTCCACTACTAATTTGATTTCTTTTCATAATCCACTGAAAAAAGTTTGTGTATGCTTATGTTTTTCAATAAGATTTTTTTCAGGGTGTTCCACAGTTTGACGTGTTTCTGAATGATTGGTGCAAAAACGACGCATGTATCAGTAATGTGCAAGAGAAATTCGCCGATACTTCCGAATGTTGCATAGCGCAGTTCCTAAAGGCAAATCATTTAAATTTACATCTTAGCGGCGAATATTTTCCCATATTTAAGATGCAGTGTCATAATGAGATGTTGAACATATTACGATGTTCGGAGTTTGAGGAGGTCGGCCCTCTCAATAAATGGTATCGAAGAACAATATTTCTCAACTGAGCAACTTATTTACAGTAAAATTTATGAAAACCTAACACGGAATCGAAATTCGAGCTTGTCACAATTTCTCAACTCTTTCAGAACTACAGAAGCTTTGAAGTTCATTTCCAGACTTACAGGATGTATGATGAAAGGTAATGAACGTTCGAGTTTGTAACTCGAGTTCTTCGATTTCTTCGTACTCAGATTGCAAAATCAGCACTTCTGTTTACAAGATTCTCAAAGGGTGCTATACAGTAGTAGGAGATGACGATCTTCTCCAGTTCCAGCACAAGGATTATGCATTAGAGACTTACGTAAAATAGTTATTCCACTCATTATTAATTTTTTTCGTGTTCTAGCTTTTCCTAGGCGAAGGACAATGGTCTAAAGACTTCGGTGGAAGAATTTCTTATATCGGAAACGACGATGAAGAGGAAGTTAGTGTATTTTACATTTGTTTTTTTGACTAGTAGATTGTTTAGTTGGTTACATTTTATCCTCAAAGTAACAGTTTTACAATGGTCTTACGCGATTCAGGAGCTGCATCTTTCTTAAAATATATAAATTCTAGTTGTTGTATTGAAGTATACATGATATGTATAAGATATCATAATGTGAAAATTGAGAACGATTGATGAGGGAGGAGGTAAATTGTTTATGAATATTTTGTTGAATACTGCTACATGTTGATGTTTTCTTTATTGTTGCTTTCTATGAATTTCAAATTTTCTGTGTTTCCACTTCACAAAGACAAGTTTTACGACACCATAGAAATCGTGTTGCCTAAGAATCTGGGAAATGAGCACACATGCCTATATTTTTACCTGGTTTGTTTCACAATATCCAGCTGACTTCCAAATCAGACATTTTGTTGGATAATCGTCTTTTTCTGTGGAACAGCCTGGTTTTCCTTCTTGATATAGAAAATCTCAGTCATAGCGATTGCAACGTACCTTTTGATATCACTTTTTTGGTATCTGCTGTCAAAGAGCCTAAAAGCCTATAGATAAGTCATCAAGCTTTTAATGGGTAACCTGATTCCATTGGACTATCCAAGCTCGTTTCATCGTGCGAAAGTGGAACATCTCAAAATAAAGAATAAGAAAATAAGAGTATTCCAGCATGCCTTTTTTGAACGAGCATTTAGTTCCTCCTCTTCTGCTTTTTCTGCTTTTATCTCTATTCCGATAGTTCCATTTTTTGTTTGACATTCTGTCTGTTGCTTGGACTGCGTTATAATCCACTTTCTCGTAAGTGAATGATTTGCCCTGAAGAAATAATGTAGAAGTATAGATTAGATCATTACGTTTGAAGATGTGGGTTTGATCTGCTCATCATAAGAATCTGTCGGTACGTCTGTTGTGAATGCAGAGAAGTCACATTTGTTGCTTTCTTCGTTTTCTGAAAAAAATCCCACAAATACTAGGATAATCAGTCATCTTACGATCTTCAGAATCTTGATTGTTGTAGTCAGTATCATAATCATAATCATCATCATGAGGTTTGCTCTTTCGACTGTGCTTTCCGTTCTTAGTTTGGCCAACATTTTTAAAGTAGTCATAAAGACTTACCTCTATTTTGTTCCTATTTTTTGTGTGTCCATCGACTGTCTTTGCCACCTAATATTTTTTGAATTTTTTCTCACATACCATTTTCAATAACAACCTTAACTTCTCCTTCAATTGCAATAAGTTTGCCATTACCATCTCCAAAATTTTTTTTCTTTTTGTTCTTTTTCTTTGCCTTGTCGTTCTCAAAAGAAATAGTTTAAGAATCTTCTCAATATTTCTACCTTCCGCTTCTTTTTATCATCTTTTTTTTTTGTTTCCTCATCTTCCTCAGAATCCAAGTAATCATCCAACTCCTCTTCTTCAAATTCATCATAATTTTCTACGAGAGCGTCATCATCAATTTCTTCTTGTTCTTCTTCTTCTTCTTTATTTTCTTCGTTACTTTCTTCATCTTCTTCAACGTCTTCGTCATTTTTTTCTTTCTTCTTCTTCTTCTTATTTTTTCCTTCATCATCGTCGTCCTTCTTCTTCTTTTTCTTCTTTTTCTTTCCTTCATCGTCATCGACTTTTGTTTTCTTAAACTTTTTACTGCTCAACTTATTCGATTTTTTCTTCTTGCCATTTTTGGAACTTTTACCAGGTACGCGCTGAATATTATTTAGAAAAATATATAAGAAAAAAAATACCAGAGCTTGAGTTTTTGCTTCATCTAAAGGAACTTCTCCGTCAAGCAGTTCCTCGACATCCTTTTGAACTTTTTTTCCCTTTTTCGTACCTGACGTTTCATCTCTCTCCACAGCTTTTGTGTGTTTGACATCTTCTTGATGATCTGTGTGTTCCGCATCTTCTTGATGATGAATACTTCCATAATAGTGAGGTGAAAAGTTTTGATTTACCTTCAGGTTCTTCTACTTTCTTTGTATCTTCATCCATTTTATCAACAATTTTTGCCATATTTTTTTCCTGATCCTCAGGGCTTTTCTCTTCATCCTTCAGTCCAATCTGAATCTCATGTAAGAACTGTTAACTTCTGCTACCCACGGTATTTGTTACATTACTGATACCATTCTGTTCTGCTGTGTCTGTTTTCCTGTGAATTTATGAAAAATTTTAAGAAGATACTTCACTTTTTACCCGTTTCCTGTTTCAGATGGCTCTATCAAAAGAGGTTTTGGTTTTGGTGGATTTGCTAAAAAGTATTGACGGTTTCTATATGGTCTTCTCTGTCTAGAGGGTGCTTGGTTATGAGCGTTTTCCTCATCAAAAAATTCTTCATCAAAACGAGGATAAGATTTCCGGCTTCTTCTAAACATGAATGGGAAATTTACGCTTATTTTACGGATGCGAACGCCGGAAGAAAATCAGAAATCCAACGGGTCTGCTGTTTTTTATAACTTCTCTCAGCTAGAGGTACCCCACTTTAAAAATACGATATAATTGTTAACTAAAAAAGTCTTACGAATGAATGGGGTTAAGCTGGTCCCATTGTTGAATTTCAATCTCTCCATTGCGGCTTTTCACATTATGAACCACAGAGTTGAAGTTTGAAGTCGGTGATCCAAATGCTGCTGGGGCTCCAAATGTTTCTTCATTCTCGAATGGATTTTGAGCGAATTGTTGTCGAATGAAAGATAGGCTGTTTTTATCCAAATTTCTAGGAACGGGGGAGAATACATTCGGATTTCCCAGCAAGGCTCGAATATCTTGAATTGTTAGTTTGGGACAGGCAAAATGAGAACAAACCTATTTGACAAATAACTGAACAGAAGATGTTTTGAGTAACTAGAAAATAGAACAAGCTCATTGTGAAGATGTTCGAAGGAAATGTTAGTCACACTGGGAACGTAGGAGGAGTATATTCTACTTGAGATCACAAGGATTCCTTAGCATCTACAAGCAACAGATCTAGAAAATAAAACAGGACTACTTCATATACGATTTCCATTAGCCTTAACTGATTAACACACTAATCTTCACCTCTGTTACCACTCGATTTGTCATAATAAGTTATTCACTGCATGTAACCTCCTACATAACATCACTGTTTCGTTGTTAATAAAGTTTTCGATGAAGTTTACTTCCAGTGATTTTATAGATTTCCAGTGAAAATTACACTGACTTGTTTATAAACGAATATTTTCAACAAAACGCTTTCACTTAAGAAACATTTGCCTTCACTGATTTCCTGACTTCTTTCTTTAAAACAAATTTGACAGACTGAGAACTTGATCCATTTGTTTCGTGAAAGCCCTTCTCAATCATAGTGAATAACCATGGAACAAGTGTAAGTTTTGTAAAAACAAACACATTCCGCGGTAATTATGAAAAATAAATAAGAAGTCGTAGTAAATAAGTTTAGCCTAAGTAGTTTTATTTGAAGATTCTTCGTATACAAGAGTTAAAAAGTGCACAAAAAAGTTTGGTTCCATTAAAAAATTTCCAGCTCCGGCCCAGTGCATAAGCAGGTCTTTCGACAGAATAAGAACATAGTCGGTCGGTTATCACTGCAGAACCCTGCTAAGGCCCATTCCTAAAAGCATCATGTAAAGTCAGAAATTCAGAATATGGAAAAACTTTGCAGAGCATTCCTCGATTATCTTCCTCTTTCATGCAGTCAAACACGAATGGATGCCAACGTTTCCGTGCTGATAACTTTCCATTATATATTTTCCTTTCTTTGGCAGATGATATGCTTTCTAGCGTTTTAATAGACTTCACTGATGTCGTCAAGCTATTTATTGACATTGTTGTTGCTCTTATGGCATCTTGAGTAATTATAGGAACAAGCATGACGTAATTACATACCGTTCTGTTTGGGCATGACAGTTTTTTCGAACGGACTAAGCACATAACGATCTAATGAATTCGAAGACAGATTTTTTTCTAAATAAAATGAGTATGAACAAATAAGAAGAAGATTAAGAGAGCCATATAAGAGGGCGAGACAAACCTAGTGATGATTTGCTCATTTGCGAATAATCGTTCGTCATAGTGCTGTGATCTTCACTCTGAAAAGCTTAATGTGGTTGCTGAAGAGAAACTCTCTGCACATTCAATAACCCAGAACCTTCAATGGTTTCGATTGATTCGGAAGAGTACGGCAGTATTGTAGCTGATCGAAGTTCAACTGATGTTGGAGGAGCAGGAGGATGTATTTCGTGTTTATTTGATTCTATCATTCCAGATCCTTCTTCTTCAATACTGCGCATTTATATACGCAGGGAAATAAATCAATTTTACCAGAGGAAAAAATATCGTTTGAGTAGAAGATTGTATCATCCATACCAGACGTTTCATTTGGTAACGTTTTTGTTCTGAAAACACAATGATTAAAACGTTACAGGTTTATAGATTATTCACACCTTATATCATATTGACTTTGTTCTATAATCCCTATGTCCAGAGTATCTGTCTGGTTATACAGCCTATCTTCTATGCTCAGATCTTCTGTTTTGACTTCGTCTTCAACTGATGCAGTCGTCATTTTGATTCTTTCTACGGGAATGGCTGAAGAACTATCTGAAATTTTTCATGAGAGATTAAAGAAATAATTAAGAAACCTCCACTCGTTTCTCTATTACTATTTTCTTTTGTTTTATCCTTCAAATTCAGGCTGTGCTTATCGTATATAGTATGGACATCTAAAAGAATTTATAACTCACCATGAAAACACAGTTACCTAGATTTTCCTGAATTTTCTGTATGTTAGCATCTCCAGAAACTTTTTTAACTTAGAGAGAATTTATGAGTTAAATGTTTTTAAAACTACCTGATCCTATGAATTCCTTAGAGTAGCTAAAGACTTCTGGCGTTATGAATGTTAAAATGATTGGGAACTGAACAAGAATCATAGCACCGCTGGAAACATACATTTTGAAATTGAATGTGTGAAATATATTGGGAAAGAAAACGGAAAAACGCAACATTCAATCCACTATAACAGCTGAGGATATATTTAATAACTTTAAGATAAATCTGGATTCACAAAGAATCTTGAACATGGTCATTCGAAATTTTTTCTTGAGATCATTAACTTTCATCTGAAGACTCGAAAAGAAACTTATAAAACATTTGCAAACAATGAGTTCACAAAACGCTCATTGTTGAATATGTTTTAGAGCGCTATCATAAAGAATTGAATGTCTGGATTCATATTGAAGAGTTTCGACTTTCGGACACGAGTTTTCACATCAATTCAATAGATGGATTATTAATATACATCATTCATTCGAAGGTTACTTCAGGATTAAGACAGCGCGAATTTGCATTATACTTTTATTCGAAAATCTAATAACATCACAATTAGTTAAATCCATGATGAATGCTTTTCTGCACCACTCAAATACTAGCTTCTTCAATATTTGAAAGAGTATACCACTAGTTCTCAAGAGCCGAATTAACTTATTCACTCAACACAAACCATACTCATCATTAAAACCGAATAATAACCAAAACAATAAATAATCTTAAAGTCTTCAATAACGTTTTCACACTTCAGCTTTAAAAGAGTGGCAACAAGTACCAACCAATTACTAACTTTTTATACATTCTTTTCATTTATAAGTTTATCCGCACGCTGGTCGGTTGATCCAACAAGTTATGCTGAAAATCTTGAGAATTTCTTCTATTATTCAGCTTTTCTTTTCAAATTTTACAAAAAAAGTACTTCCTAAGACGGTTTGTATTTTCTCACAATGGCATCCAAGGTCATAACTACAAAAGCTATTAAACGTTACCGTAAGTAATATTTTAGTCGTGTGATCAAAAATTCTCTCGCAGTACCCGTTGAAAATGTAAAAGCTACACTGCACAAATGTAGTTATAACTTGTTCTTCATAACAGAGTTCCTGTTCAGCATTTAATCTATTAGGTGTTTAGAATGACTAAAATCAAAGGTGCAGCACAGGTTGTAGAGCCTGCATCAATTTCTCCCGCCTGGAAAGTGTTGAAAATGGTATAATACTCATTTGTGATAAATACTGATTACGGATTTCAGAAAATGAGAGAGGAAAAATCAGAAATGGCGGGAGGCAAAGTAGTTAAACGCAAACCAAAAGGAAATTTGGCGGTATTATGGTCTGTTATATTGTTTCTATTTTTTTTAGGCGAATTTTCATCGAAAACAAAAACTTCAGGACGCTCTTAATGAAGAATCCCTTGAGCCGAAAGTACTGAAAAAGACCAAGAAGTGATTTGTTACTATGTTCTTAAATCGATTTTGGATGTTTTAGTGATAATTTGGTAGCCCTCGATTGTGAGTATGTGGGTGGTGGTTATCAAGGAAATGATGATGTATTGGCAAGAGTTTCCATAGTCAACTCCGTAGGTGTTTTTTCTTTGTGTTGTTTTTTTTAAAGAAAAATGTTTTATTTTCAATTTTAGGAAGGAGACGTAGTTTATGACTCTTATGTTAAACCTACCGATAAAGTTACAGATTACAGAACTTCTGTAAGTGGAGTGCGTCCAGGAAACTTGGTCAATGGTTTTTTTCTCATAATTTACTTTCATTATGATCTCCTCATTAAAGGGAAACCATTTCAAACTGTCCAGTTTGAAGTTTCGAAATTGCTGAAAGATAAAACAGTTGTTGGTCATGCGATTCATAATGATTTCAGGGTAAGTTATCTGTGGTACTGAGTAGCACCCATTTTATTTTGAAGGTTTTGAACATTGCTCATAGCAAAAAAAATATCAGAGATACTGCTAGATGTAATCTATTGAAAAGTTTATCCAATTTCGAAGGAAGGGTATGTAGAGACTTGTCAATCAGGTGCTTAATTTGAAGCTACAGATGCCTTCGTTGAAAAAATTGGCAGAATCCGTTCTAGGTATTGAAATTCAAAAAGGAGAACACGACTCGGTAAGTTGAAATTTGCTAGAAACATAAGAATCGCTTAAGGTAACGGATGCCCGTGTTACATTACGTTTATATGAAGTTGTGAAGAAGAAATGGGAAGCAGAAATAAAACGTTATCGTCATTAACCAAGTTGTTTGTTGTTATTATTGTTGTGTTCATATTGTTGAAATTTTGATAAAGATAATCTACCCTAGTTGGTGCTGGAAACACAAGGCTGTCCATTTCTGCTTATTGCTATAGAGAACATGCAAGTACTGATGTATATTGAATGGCTACGTATTTGGTTTGTTCAGTATAATGATAATCCCCATATGAGTCGTGCATATTTTTTTTTTGTAAAATATGATGTGAGAGTAAGAGGACGTGCACAAGAGGTGGTTGGTTGCCTCTTTTCCGACTCTTTATTCCTCGTTTTGTACATAACGAATTTTGCTTGACGCCGCCGCACTAAATGCGGCTCTTTATACACAAAATTGTGAGTGAGTGTGAATGCGAAGGAGAATCTTAGTTTCGCCCAACTAGCCCACCTTTTTGTTGTTGCGCGTTTTGAATCTTTCTAGTCCTGAGCGAAAAGAATAGAGAAGTTTACGATGAGAGTGGAGACTGAATTTGATTTTTGTTAAATTGATGAATGCTTTTGTCATAAGAATCTGCTGTTTTACCTCACTGTACCCCTTGTCTTTTAATGTAAATAGTATTGTTTTAAATCTAATTATTTATAGAATTCATGTTTTCAACGGTAAGTTGGTAAAATATGGACGCTTCAGCTTCGTTTGATGCTTTTGTTTCCGCATCAACATTTCGTACTATTCAACAGACGTTTCTCCAGCTATGTCTCGCTTTAGAAATAGACCCTTCTGAAGGAAAAAATGTATACGAAGGGTATATTTTACCAGTATAGTACTGAATGTTTTTTTTGTTTGAGACTTCGCAAGTTCAAAGACTGGAAAGCTGAGAAGTTGTGGAAACTTCTGGATAAAAGAGTTAATCAAAAAGAATACCTTCAGCAAAAGGCTGCCGACAAACTTACGACATTAATTATTGGAGCCGGTTCAGTTTAAGCTTTTCCGTTTTTTATTTTAATTTTTCAGGACCTTGTGGCCTTCGTATGGCGATAGAGTGTGCTCTGCTTGGAAACAGAGTGGTTGTTGTAGAACAGCGGGAAAAATTCAGTAGAAATAATGTGCTCCATCTATGGGGATTTGTTATACATGATATCAAGGCTTTGGGAGCAAAAATTTTTTATCCTAAGTTTTGCACAGGGAGCATTGAACACATAAGTTGCTACTCATTAGTGTTTACAGATATATTCTTTAAAATTTTAGGCATCCGACAACTACAATGTATACTGCTTAAAGTAGCTCTTTGTTTTGGTGTACAGGTTCACGAAGGAGTTTCTTTCAAGGAAATAGTATTTCCTTCAATTGAATCAAGTAACTTTTTGTGTATTCTTCATTTTCTTAAGTTCAATGATAAATAGAATGTGGATTTAAAGCTATGCTTGAACCACCAGGACATATTTTGTCAGAAATGGAGTTTGATGTTCTGATTGGAGCAGATGGTAAGAGGAACACTGTACCAGGATTTCGGAGAGATGAATTGAGAGGAAAGTTAGCTATAGCCATAACAGCTAACTTCATTAATAAAAAAACACCGGCGGAGGAGAAAGTTCCGGAGATCAGGTACACGTTCCATAATGATTTCGTTTATAAGGCTGTGTTTAGCGGAGTAGCGTATATCTTCAACCAAGCTTTCTTCAAAGAGATGCATGAAACTACGGGTGTTGATCTGGAAAATATTGTTTATTACAAAGTAGGATATTTATATATTAGAATAGCTCCTGAACTAATCTATTAGGATGAAACTCATTACTTCGTTATGTGTGCCAAAAAGCATAGTTTATTAGAAATGGGAGTTTTGAAAAAGGTATTCTTATTATTTGAACTAGGCTCATATCTTCCTAGGATTCTGATGATGCCGTCACACTTCTTTCTTCCAACAACCTTGACAAAGAGGCCCTATGCGCCTATGCTGTTAAAGCTGCTCACTTCGCCACAAATGGTGCATAACCGTCAGAAGTATGATTATATGACATTTTCCAGGGGCCTTACCCGCACTAGAGTTCGCGGAAAATCATAGAGGGGAGAAGGATATAGCTGCTTTCGACTTCACGAGTCTTTACTCAGCCAAAAACTCTGTTCGTCTTGTGGAAAGTAACGGTAAACGTTTGTTGTTGAGTATTGTGGGGGACTCTCTTCACGAGGTATTCAGTCGCAATTGTATAATTAAACTCCTCTCATCTAGCCGTTCTGGCCTACAGGATCTGGTTGTGCGAGAGGCTTTCTCGGCGTTTTTGACACAGCTTGGCTATTGAGGAACTATGGCCTTAACCAAAAAGGTACAAAACTTTAACACACAATCGAAATATATCATTCACAGGTCCTTTGGAAATGATCGCAGAACGTGAAAGTGTGTATCGCTTGTTAACTCAAGTCACCAAGGATAACATGCACAAGCTGATTAGTAAAGTTAGTATATATATATATAAAAGATTCTTTCATTCAAATTCAGTATACGATCGATCCACGTACGAGATATTTGCATCCAGGTTTGTGCTTGGAGCCGGACGAAGTGGTTAGCCTTGTTTACTCGGATAATCCACGATCTTGTAAGTTATTTTCCAGTGTAAAATAAATATGTGGAAAGATATCATTAATCTTTTTTGAAAATTACGTGAGAATGCGACCGTTATCCGTCTTGAATACCTCAAAATGAAATTAATGCATGCGCAGATGCATGGGCATAGTAGGCACAAAACAGTCCTAGTGTTTTTCAGTACCCGTTAGCGAACCTCTCCCATTGAATTATCAAGGATCAGCTCACTCTCGCGAAATCGCCAGCATCACGAGATACTCACTATGGAAGTTTTGCTGTTATGCTCTTATGAATTACAAATTGAAAGTGATTGATCTCAATAACAGGTAAAGTTTCTAGTGCTCATACCTGATTAACTTTATTTCAGCTGGTGCGATGGCCTAGCACTGGGTGGACTGATTGCGAAATTTGCTCCGAAGTCATTAGACTACTTTTATCTTTTGAATTTAAATGACGCTCATAAACGCTTGCAGGTTTTATTATAAATCATGCATTCGGCTGATCTCAAAATCATCGTAGGTATGCTTTGATGCAGCAGAGTTAAATTTCAACGTTCCAATACCATGTTGTCCCAGCGCATGGGAATATTTGAAAGAAAACCGCAAAGCGGAATATTTAGAACAAATTGTGAACGTTATCCGGTAATTTTTTTGTTGTTCCTGCCTATACAGTTATATTCCAGGAAAGATATGAAATTAGTTCAACAATGTCTTATTACTCCAAGATCATTCAAACGAAAAATTGTTGAAAAACCTCGCCTTCGAGCTTATCGTAGGGCTACACAGCCAATTGAAAAGTTAGCTTCAGATCTTCTGGAATCGTTCAAATCAGAGGACAAAACTAGTGTAACAAGTTATTGAATTTGCAAGAAATTATCTTCTTTTCTTAGAGTACCAAAGAGTATGAATCAGTCAAGCGGTTTGAGCGCCTTAAGCGTCAAGAGAGTGATCCCACTTCCAGACATGCCGGAGAAAAGTTTTCAGAGCAAGAAAAAAAGAGTGGTCAAGAAAACTTGAAGTTAAATGATTTCATTGTAAAAGTAGTAACTTTTTCACTGTGCCCTCTCCATATTTTGCTTAGGATAAGAAGTTGCAAAAAGAAGGAAGCTCCAAGAAAGTTCAGTATAATTTCGCAGAGTTTTGTCACCAAGAAACACCTTTGGATTTTTCGGAGGGTTCCGAGAAAGAAAATGGGTTGAAGGCATTATTCAAGTAATACAAGAAACATAAATAATTTTTTTTCAGAACAGTGGTTCAGCACAACTCAAAAGAAAAGACGATTCTGGAACGTGTACGGACACCTTGAATGTTCACAAACAGACACTATGTGATTTTTGTGAAAAGGCTTGTTACCCATACTTTCTGATATTTTTTTATATTTTGCAGGTGGTGTACTTAACAGAGAGAATTCAGATTGAATCTGTTTACATTCACAAAAATTGTTTTCGGTGCTCCATTTGTTCTCAAATCCTCCGAGTAGGGGAGTATGGTAAAGATAAAGAGCTGGATCTTATACACCCCAAAAAGTATGGACGTTTTTCATTCCAATACCCAATACCTCTACATACTCTCAGGTTGTTTTGTAATGTTCATTCGCGTATTCCTCTCAAGGAAAAAATTAGCCAACTGGAAAGGGTGAATCGAAAACGACAGTCATTAGCGGTACTACCTATGAAGTCTGTTTCTGAGAAGTGAGTTCTTATGTTTTTTTTGAATAACTGTATTCATTTTCTTAGCGAATCTAAAGACACCCCTGCTTCTTGTTTTCATCATATACTGTCAACGCCTCAGCATATGAAAGAATCTCGTTCCATAATTTCGCCGATCTCTGAGTTAACATGTGAAAACCTTCGAACCCCCGAGCGTGCTGAGTTTGGATACCATGTAGAGAAAACGGTTGAGGCTAGTTCAAGAAAACTATTTTGGATAAACTGCTGAATGTTTCCTTTTTTATAGTATTCAAAGTTGGATGATTCAGAAAGCGAAGAAGATGAGCAGTCGAACGTCAAGCAAAGGAGTAGTATCATTCTTTCCTTAAAAAAACGAAAGTTACTATTAGATTCAAAACAGGATAGCGATGGAGAATTAAGTGTATCAGATTCTGAGAACTTGGAAGAAGCAGATCTGGAAGAGTTTCAAAAATCCGTATTACAGCTTGATGATGAAAACCCTGAGATGCCTGTAACTGATGAACAAGTAAAAATTTCAGTTTTTTGTCCAATAATATTTTTTGTTAAGTTGATGTCCATAATTAATCGTATGAATCAGAGGCGTAAGAGTTTACTTCCAGATGGAACACCTACGGTAATATTCGAACATTTTTTGACGTACTGATTGTTATTATATGTATTAGCGGTCCGATGAGCCTTTGTTCCGTACTGAAGTAACGTTCAGATCAACAAATTCAACGGAAGCTATTGATAGGGATAGAGCTCGCAGTATTGCAACTGTTCCTTCTGAAACAGGGTTTTCAGAGTTTAAGATTCCTTTGAGCGTTTGTATAAGAAAGGTTTATATAATTTGTGAATCCGTCTAATTGTTAAGAGTATTCAGCAAAAAGAAGAAGAATTGGAAAAACTCAAATCAGAAATGAGATTGAAAGCTAAAATGAAATCAGACCATGAATTAGGAATCAAAAGTAATATAATTGAAGAAGAGCACGGCACTCCAGAAAAGTTCAACACAGAACTCATTCACGACACACCGAGCGCTAGGAAGGTATAATGAGGTTTTTTTCTATTACAACCTGAATGTTATTCAGCCTCGATCGAGCTCTTTACTGGCACAAATGCCATCACTATGGAGAGAATCGTTGAACGGGCTATCTAGTAGTGTACCTTCTTTGATCAAAGCAGTAAGGCAAGCTCAAATTCCTTCTAATAATTATTGTTTTCCAAGGAAACTGACAAAAACAAAGATCATTCTGAGCCTCTTGATCTTTCAAATGAGAACTGTTTAACTACTACTTTCCTCCACAATGATCTTCATTTAGAAAAAACAAAAAAGTCTGTTTTTCAATCTGATGATCTGCACATAGAAAGCAAGAAAGAAACTGGCATGTTAGAATCTCCTTATCATCTGTTCAAAAAGAAGGAGAAAAAGAAAAGAGAGACTAACTCTTCTAGTTATCTTCACTCTGTTGGAAAAACAGACAATTTCCTTTGCGCTGAGCTACCAAGAGTAGCTACAGTTCCTCCTTCGCCTAGATCTATCAAGGAATCGCCACGAAATTGTTTTTCAATGTTTGATGACTCTGCCTCTGTTAATACTTCACAAATCCCGTCTGATGCCATAACATTGAAGAATTTCCACAAAAAGGCTCAAAAGCTCAAAAAGTTTTATTTTTTTTCGCCGATAGATAATTTAGCTGTTCATGTTTAGAGACAGAGATCTGCAATTGAGTCAGAGTGCTCAAGAATTGCAGTTGACTATTGACAGGAACGGCATAAGGTTAGAAGAAATAAGTAAACAGATTAAAAAAAAAGTCTTGATACTGGAATGTGGTAAGTCATATCACATATCATCTTTATTTTGAAAAATAAAACTTTCAGAACCCAATAATCAAGCAGAATTGATCAGATGGCTCGAGTTGATCAAAGAAAGAGATTCTTTGAAATTCACTAATAAGGGTAAGCAACTCGAGCTTCTGAAAGTGAAATTACATCTTCGATACCGTGATCTGAACAAGAAATACTCCAATTCGGAAGAAATGGCTGATGTTATTAGTAATCACTAGATGGTTCTAAAAGATTGGTTTAGGAAAGAACACTGAATGAAATGTTACGAACAGTTCACGAGAAAACAGAAGCGGATACACTTCTTAAAAGTTATCACAAGGAATCCATGAGAAGGTAGACGATGCAAATGTTACCTCTCTTACAAATTGTTTGTTTACAGTTTACCGCGAATTGAAGATGTTTTACGGAACAAAAAATTTTCATATCTTAACTTTGGTGTAAACTTCGAGTTCGCCTCTCTATTCTGACCATCAAGCTTGCAACATTTCTCTTCAATCATGAAATCTGTTTATGCTTCATTCCTTCTCATATTCTAGGAATATAGAATGTTCTCACTTCCAAAAACGTTTCTAGTCAACATTCCTATCATTAAATTATTAAATTAATCTTCAGTTTTGCCAATTAAATAATAAGTCATTCTGAGCTGTTTTACATTGTTTTTATTCGAATGCGTTCAAGAGTCACTGCAATATTTTGGAAATTTTATTTCTGCTCATCAACTTTTTTATATTTTTCGGACGAAATGACAAATGACTATAGTTGTGACATTATGAATGGTAATAGTTTTCTTTTGATTCTTTTGGACTTCACTCTCGATTCAGAAAGGGCTGTACTGGAAAGGGATTTCCTTCACGAGATCGCAAGGCAACTCTCGCGGAACTCATTGCCGAGCTTACTGAGGTGTTTACATTTTTTTTGAACAATGAAAGCGTCTTTTAAGATTTCGTGCCGTGAGCGAAGTATGTGAAGTTATTGGTAACAGAGCCATTGCTAATAGTTTGAATAAAACTGTTGACGCTAGTGTTGTGTATTCTAATCAAGTTTGTCGGAGAAGTCTTATTGAAAAAAAATAATTTCAGAATCCTATTATTTTAAAACCTAAGGAAATGAAAAGTGACGATTGTGCAGAGCTACATGAAGATGTTCGCCGTTTGTTAAGTCTGCTTGAAAAAATTGGAGAAAGTCATGGGGACAGCAGTTTAAATTTAGGTGAGGGATGAGGGTATCTATTTATTTCAAGTTTCTAGTTAATTTTCAAAGCTCAAGCTTACATTGGCTTAGAGGATCTATTAAGAAGATAAGAAGATGCCCGGCTGTTTTACAAAAACGGATTAAGAAACTTTACCACACTTATTATAAGGGGTATATTCGGATTTGACAAGCGATAACTTGTTCGATAATTTGCAGAAGCATAAACTTAACCTATGACGATTACTTACTGAGGCCTTCCCGATTCTTGAGTATTGTTTCCAAGCAAAGTTCTCATATCGCCATATTGAACTTGGGAGATATTAAGGTTTTCACATATTTTTGATTTAGATAATCAGATATGTTTTCATAGAACACAGCAAAACTTGCAATGCATGAAAATCTCTTCCCGCATCTTCCGAACTTAGAAGTGTTTGTATGGACTAGAGCTGAGTCGAAATTCATACAAGTAGTACTCTGGATATTCACCGTCAACCACAAATATTTTAGGTTTTACCTAGTCCACACAAGCTAACACATGCTTCAATTACTTTTCGTCGAGGTCATTTGTTAGTAGAACATATTGGGCCTGTTCTGAATTGCCAGGGCCTTGCACATCTTTTTTTAGGGTTCCGGGCACCTAAATTCGCGTTTGTGCATTGTCAATGGTTTCACAATAGTTTCTCTGGTTTCAGAACTCGATTTGATATGGAAGTGCTTTTGAATAGTTATCAATTATTCTGGAATAGACGTAATTATACCCCGAGAAATATGTATACAGTTGCTGGATTCATTCCTGTTAAAGCTTCTGAGTCCTCAATGGTTTGAACTATTGCACACTCACTTTATAAATGTTCTATTAGGACGGAAGAGATTATTGCTATCGAGCATTCCCAAAAATGAAGAGAATTGGATTCTGGAATAGCCCATCAAGCGTTGAAACTTTTTTTAAAACCGAAAAAGTATTATTTGTTTTTCAGCTTTTCCAAGTAATGTGTGAGAAGGAATATTCGTTCCATACTTTGCAATGGGGAGAATTAAACCAAGGTCTCAATAGACTGTGCTCCATTGATTCAGTCTTAGAGGTTCTTATTCTTGTATTATTGTTTCTATGGTTTGATAATACAGAGTCTGTTTACTTACGAAGCTGTGCAAAGTTATGATTACCATTTCGCGGATCATGCTAAGGTATATCAAGTTATGCTTTACGTTTGTTATATCTATGTTAGCTCTACCTCCACTCAATGCCAGTGGTATCACTTGAATACTACATACCGCAGTTGATGGCTTTATTGGGAAAGGTAATTTTTTTCTTTTGTTTCTCATTATTACTTTTGTAAGATAATGAGTGATGTTAAAACGTTGGAAATCTTCATAAAATCCTCAACGGATTCTGCGATGCCTAGTGGGTGGTTGCTGTCAGAAAAAAGGCCTAGAAAATGCTCATCAATCTTCACAAAAATGACTCACTTTTCTTTCCATGTAGATAATATGTGTTTAGTAGGTTAGTTTTAACTCAACGAAATTAGAGATTTTTTTCAGTTAACTAATCTCGACATACTACTACCCCCAACCTTGACTAGTTTAACATTATCTTTCGTAGTTTCCTTAAACGCAAAGAAAGAGTTCTTGGATTCCTTATTGAACTTTATCGATAAACTAGATGATCCTAATCGTTTTCCCGACCTGGAAGAGTTCCATGTACAGGTATTCTCCTACTTTATTTCAGAATATTCACTTATGTCTTCCAGGTTTACGGAATCAAAAGTTTCGAAGTTGTCTTGGAACACATTATTGAAGTTATACCTGATCTTAAGAAGCTTTCAATTCTTTGTTTACCAATATCTGATGAAAAGTAGGTTGTTTCACGATTTCTGAAATATTCCATTCAGTGATGTCGTTATCGAAGTTCTAAAGAGGACTATAAAAACTTGCAAAAATTTGAAGTCACTCGCACTTTGCCCAATTCTCATTAATAGATTAACAGGTCTTTCACAATCTCTACCAGAAGGTTAGTTAAATTTTGTCCAACTTTAAACTTCAGATATTTTACAAAAACTAGGTTTCAGATTACTTCAGATGGAGAAACAAATTGCATAGCTTTTTCTCAAACCACGATCTAATTTTTGAGTCTGGAACAGTGAGTATTGGTACTCTTCCCATTTGCAATGGGTTCGATAAATATGTTGTTCCTCCATTTTGCTATGAAGGGGACAGCTCGGATTTAGAATGTGCAGTAAGTTCATGTATTCCACACTGTTAATATTATTTTCTCAAAATAGTATGATAAATTTGATCGAGTTAAAGACAAAACTCAGAACTCTCTTAATCAAGAGCAAGAAGAGCAAGAGAGCCTGAATGACGATGATGATTACGACGATTCGTTTGTTTCTGACGATTTGGGAGTGGAGGCAGAGGAGGATGAACTGGATATACTCGAAAAGAAGTTAGAACCTGAAAACAAACGGCTTTTTAGAAGGGTTACTTTTCTCTTATTTCGAACTGTCATCACATATAGTTTGTAGGAAAATAGGAAAAGGAAGATATCAGTTTCTGAAGAAGAATCTACCGATGATGAGGACGTTATCGTCTTCAAAAGGAAAAATAGAAAAATATGCGATGATAAAGATGGTGATGCTCAATCAGAGTCCGAGGGCTATACTGATTGTGACTCGGAAACTGATAATGAACACAGAACGAAGAAAGTGAGATACATCTGTTCACTGATAGAATATTTTTTGTGTTTAAGTGCTCTTTTCTTGATGATGAAGCTGAAGAAAATAACGATGAAGAATCAGAAAGTGATACGGAAGAAGAACCTTTCCTTGAAGAAATTGAGAGTGAAACAGAAGATTGTGTGGTAAAAATTTTGTTTAATCTTGCAATACGGACGTTTTCACTTTTCAGAGACATTCTGTGGAAATCAAGAACGCACAAATACGTTCGCAAATAATTCGAAAAAAAAAAATTATTGGTAAAACTTTATGTAAATCAATCATTATTCCTATTTATTTTTTATAGATTCAGATAGTGATTAAATTTACTATATCTTCGAAACAAGCTTGAGTGATAATATTTTAAACTTACCTGTACTGCTGTTTTACTTATACTATTAATTTCAGTGAATGCGATTAAAACTTGAAACTGTGGTTTATTTTAATATACTTGTTTCTTATCAGTTTTAAGGTTTTTGCGTAAGCGCCTGTGAAACAACTGCTTTTTCTTGCACTCTGAGAAACTCACAACGGCATCTGAAGATGTTTTCTACAACAGCTGTTCGTACAAGCCCGTGGCAGCAACTGCTTTGATTCTGTTTGGTGTCTTTTAATAGTTATCTGTTTAATATGACCGCGGACCTAATGTTCTATATGTGAGAGAAAAAGTAACTTTCTTTTCTCTCTCTCTCTCTCTCTCTCTCTCTCTCTCTCTCTTTCTCTCTCTCTCTCTCTCTTTCTCTTCATTCTCATCTCGTTAAACATCTCTTTCAGAAAGCGGTAACATTCGTTCTAATAGAGCCAGATTCTGTATGGTTGAAAGAACCACTTCAGTTATTCACCAGAAACCAAACTGAAGATCTGATGGTTCCCATAAAAGGGAAAATCACAAAAGTATCAGTTCTCTCAATGTTTTGTTCAGTTTAAAAAAAAACTTTAGTCGAACGATAGCCTATCATTTGATCCCATGCTCGTGAATCCGACATCCGATTCTTTACAAGCATTCGTGAAGATGGAACAGTTACTCTTGAAAAATTCTAGCTTATACGATCAAGTTTCTTTTGCCCGGAGGATAGAGAAAAAATTCTTTTTAAGGACTTGTTAAACCAGTTTTGTGAGAGCAAGAAGCTGAAATGTGCCACTTTTCCTTGGAATGATGTAGCTGATGGCATATGGTGGGGTTGAAAAAATTCGATGTTTTTGTTCGTTTTTGATGGAAATAAGCTATTTAAGGTTCAAAAAGAGTGAGGAAGAGCGTAAATTATACTCACCATATATAATCAATAACAATTTTTATATTGGTATAAAGGAAAAGGAAACTCGTCAAGCTTTAAATGGATTTTGGTTTTCTACAACTGCTGGTGTTTGTCTTTCTCAGAAAGTTCGTCTATCTCTCAAGAAATATAAACCTTAATATAATATTAGATTATGCATATAGTATTTTATGTTTTTACTCCTTTTTATGAAATACCTTTGTTTCATTGAATATTGCTTTATAAATCTTGCGTGAACCACTTTTTAATGATTTCAAAATTTGCAGTTGATCAATGCTGCACTCATTGAGCATAATCTCAATCTGTAATAATATGTGTAAATTTTCATTTTTGTATAGCAGGCAGAAGACTTAATATTCACTTGTCTTCTATAAATGACGATGGACAACATCCAGAGTATGGCATCGAAAGCTGTTTCAGGAAAATGTTCAACATTTTGATGAATGCTCATTCGGTCAGACGCAATTATATCTGCCATTCCACAAAAATTCTGAAAGAAGCAAGAGTTTTCTAATATCGTTGTCGTCAAGCATGTGTTTTGCATGTTACAAACACCAATCCTCCTCCTATTCTCTCTCAGAAATTTTTTTGTTAAATATTTAACATTGTTTTTGGTTAATTTGTTTGAAATCCAAAAAAAATGACTGCTCACGAAACTCTCAGCTGACGTATAGTGAAAAGTTTGTGAATGAGGTCCAATTTCTGGAGAACAGTTGTGTTTTTATCTTCTTCCCATCCCGCTCTCTTATTTCTTTCAATGTTTTACGTATTTTTCTTTTCAGCTTCTTTTTGCTGCTCTCATTCTTTTGAGATTTTATTCATTCCTATACGTTTCAATTGTAATAAGTCTGCTCATCTCTATCTTTTTCTTAGTTGAACACACACGAAACGTCATAAATGACAAATTAAACCATCATTATGCCTTAAAGAGGAATTTGTTTTTCGAATCAAGTTTCTCTCTCTTATACTTGCTTATTTCATATAATTAAACCGGACATTACCTGATACCTAACTGTTTCCGTCATTGTTGATGAATCCCTTGACTCGTTTTGGCCAAATGTTGTTTGAGATTCTTTGTTTTCATATTTCTCGTCTCTGAATTTTTGTCATTTTTTTGGATGAGATGAGCTATGATTCTGTCCTTTTCTCACCTTTTTGCTGGGCTGTGACATGTCCGACCTTCTGGAAGATCTAGCAGCTGCATCATTGTTTGAATTTTGATATTTGTAAAATCAACAGTTTGCTTGAGATGGAACGAACATTCAACTTCAACATCTGATAGATCTAAAACATTTCAGTTTCAAAATAAAAAGAACCATATTTCTCATATTGAATTACCTGAGTTCATGTTAGACAGCAAAAGCTAGCAAATGAGAGCTTAGCGTTTCCCACTCATTTCTTTCCTGAAGTCTAACAAATCAACCGGCCGTGTAAATTCCTACTCTGAACGACTCGGAAACGAGAGAATCTGAGTTTTAAGCTAAATTTGCTATGAAATTCTTTTTATATGTTCCTATGAATTTTTCCATATTTGTCACATATTTTTCGGTCCATTGTGCTGCGGAGGAAACATCCGAAATTGGTGAACAGATGAAAACAAACGTTTTGATTTGTTTTCTTCTTCTTTTATTTATAATGTGCTGAAGAGTAAAATATTTTTCTCAATTAAAAAATCATATTTATGTATTTTGTGTCAGATTACGTCTTTAAATATCTGATAGCTTTTAGAAATCCTCCGCTTACATAATGCTTCTACGTGTTCAAAAGGGTTTTTGAGAAGACTTGAACCTTTCATTCCACTTACAAGACATACTTGTAGCTTATCAATATTTCCTTTTAGAGATTTCTGAACTATTGAAAAAATGATGAAATGAGGTTGAAGTGAGGAAAGAGATATTTAACCGGAGTAGAGAAGAAGAGAATATGAGGAAAAAAAGTTAAGACAACCGTTTCGTGTCACCAACAAGAACAAATGAATCAAGTGAGCGATTGCGCTCTTTGCGTGTGAAGTTATAAATGAGTATTATCTCACGTGATTACGTCATTTGCTGCGTGCCGAAGCTTTCTGTTGGTCACCTCGTTTGATTTTTCGATTTCAAAGATATCCGTTCGTTTTTCTCTTGTTGTTACTTTTTTTTTCAAATGTGAATGACTCATATAATAATGACTTTCGGTTAATTATTATTACATATTTTAAGATAATATGGAAGAATGCAATGATTCCGTAAATTCAGATTGGGATTCTTTACCGAGTAGTAAAAAAGAAGTAAAATTGTTTTGTTTTGTTTCATTTATGTAAACGAGCAATGTTCAGGAATATATTTATACGCTGAAGTGTGCAACTCCAACTGAAATGGAAGCTGCAGACTCTCCATATGGTTCCATTCGTGGTAAATCTAAATATTCATAAAACAAATATATTGATTGATTTGAAGAAGATAAAAGAGCAATTTAAAAGATCAAAGAAGTATGAGAGATTGTTTAGTAACCCAGTACTACAGTAAATTAAATGAAAAAAAAGAGTGTTTTTCATTATTTAAAAAAATAACAAAATGATTTGACTTGATCAGAAAAAGTTTTTTTTCTATTTATCTCTTCGAACCTTGAAATATTTAATTAAGATTATATATTTGATAGATATTGATTATGTTGAAATATATTCTTCTGAAAAGCCAAATTATGGATAAGCAAAGAATTTAATCTGCATGTAAACGAGCATGTATAAACTACTTAATTCCTTTTCTTTCGTCTCTTCTTATTTTGAAACTTACATGAGACAAAAGCGAGAATTCATATTTGAACTTGGATGTGTTACTTCCTTTCTAAATCTGAAGTTCTGAAAGTGAAAAATGAGCTTGTAAGAATAAGAGTGGGAGACGGATTTTGGTTCGTATGTTGCTATGCCTCCCTCTCTCTTTTCCTTTTCTCTTTCTTTTTCTCTCTCTATACATTCCTCATGTGTCTCTTAGGAATTGTTCTTCTTCTTTCTCTCTTCTCCTTATTTCTCTTTAAATCACCAGCTCCCTCGTATATCTTTTGTTTGCCTCTCATTTTCAAGTAGAATTTTTTAATTTCTTTCTATCTATATCTTTATCTCTCTCTCTCTTCATTCAATGTAATTCTAACTTTTTCTTTCCTTTTAGTTCGTTTTCCAACTACATCCTATTATCAAATGCTTCTGGCAATGTTTTCAAATAGATTCCCCTTTCATCCTATCATGTTATACCGTAAATTTAACCTTTTCTCCATTTCATCCTTTATTATAAGCCATTCAAAGGGATAGATGAGCTCATTTTATAATATTAAGACACCTCATTTACACATATCTTACAATATTTATCTGATTAACATGACGAACTTAACAGGTTGGTGTGCTTGATAAAATTTAAACTGATCTCTCTTCGCAACTGGTCATATGAGCTTTTCAGCTTTTTGCTCGGTAGCCAAACAGCTTCATCACATATTTCACTTTATTTTTAGCTTAAAGTAATACTTTTCATGTTATTCTTCAATTCTCATTCCTCATTAAAAAAAAAGCTTTTTCTTACCTTTTCACCTATTGTTCTTATTTGGACATGTGCTGATACGTGTGCCGAGTCTATTTCTCGCATCCTTTGAACCATACGAAAGCTTCTTTTTTTCTCAAAATTCATGGTTTTTAAGTTTTCAATATTAGATATTTTTTGTTTTTCTTCCTTTTTTACATCGTTTATTTGTATTTGCTACAATTTACCTTAAGAAACTGCTATATAATAATCGTTGGATAATTGCTTACCTACCAAAAATTAACTTCCTTCAAAGCTTGGTGAAGCCATTCAATATCCAGAATGAGCCTAGACGGTTCTTCCTCTCCTGAACCACTCGAACAACTTGATGAGGAAAAACAACGACGAGTCGTTCGCTGGGCATCTGTTCGCGAAAATGGCGCTAATAACAATGATAAAAACAATTTGGGTCTTCGACGTACTGGAACAGTCCCATCATTGGGAAATAGTAGACCGAAAGGTAACAATGTTTTGTGCTTTCTCATGTTTGATCTTATTTTCGAGCTTCATCTCTTTAAGTTCAGCTTATGATTTTATTCTAATCAGAAGATCGTTTCGAAGCGAAACATATTGATTTTTAAACTTTTGCAAAGTTTTGGCCTTCTGTTCCTTCATTTGAAGACAAAGCTCACCGTGTCTTTTCTCCCATATCTTCTTCATTTTCCTATTCTCTCTTTCTCCCTCTTGGTCTCCCCATTTTCTGTTTCATCATTTGTTTTATCACTATAATCTTTTTTATTTTTCCTCAATTATTCATTGTTTCTCGCTCTCTCTCAAATTTTCCTTTTCTCTCTTGGAGTCTGTCTCGTTGTCTTCAAATGTCTCTTCTATTATTCCTTATGTACTTCTGAACCTTCCAACTGTCGCAGTTAGGTCTTCCACACTTGAATAACTGAAAATGCATAAAAAGGTGGAAACTCTCAAAAGTTTCAATTTCTTCTCCAACTTTCTCCTTTCCGGTCTCTGACTGGTCTCTCTCGAACGTCTCATGGAAAAACTTTTTTCATGATCCACATTAGCATTTAATCCCAAATAAATTAATTAATCTCCTGATGATCTCAAACAACTCAAGTACGAACGATATGCTTAAGAGAAAGCTTCTAACTTGTAAAATTTTATATCTTTTCTTATTATAGGGGATCGTCTCGATCCGTTCGGAGGCCAAAGTTATCTGCGGGTGCCAGGAAATGTTTCAGGAAGAGCTTCACCCTCAGTAGCCTCGATGACTTCAGAACCTGAATCTTGTATAGATGACCATCGCTATCTCAATGAAGATGATGAGATGGATATGGGTACGTTTTTTCTAATTTTTAATAATTGTTTTTTGTAAAAACAGTAAAAAAATAAGGATTTGGGGGGACATGTTAAGGGGTTACGAGTTTTTTTCTTGTCTGCTATGGCTCTCAAAGAATTTAGATTTAATAAGTTTTTTTCTTCAAGACACCATGTGAAAGCTTCAAAGCATGTTTTGACAAATTTTGCTTCAAAACTTTTTTGAAAATGTAAGAAAAGGAAAATATCTATATAAGACATGTTGTGGTTTGGGCTATGAAAATTAGTTTTGAAAGAAAAAGATGCAATTAACATAGGGGCAAAGGGAAGGATAGATATGAGGCTTCATGAAGGAAACATTAAATTAGGAGATTTTATGAATCACAAAAAGTTACTTGCATTTTCAACTTCATTATGTTAACTGACATCACTTGAGAGATTCTAGAGAGAGCATTAATGCCCGTAGTTTTGTTGGAAGGCAAAGTCGTCTTAGGACCAACAATTGTGAATGTAGCTTGTCAGCTGTCAGATTCATTCATTGGAAACAGCAAAAGCTGGGCACCGAACTGGAAAAGAAGTCCAGGGCTTTTCGAACATGTCGTAAACTAGTGTGAGAACATGAGTTTGAAACATATCAGAGTAAAATATCTTTGCTTGAAAAGTCAGATGAAGTCAAAAAAAATGGAAGCTGCTCGTTCAAAAGCACTTCAAGCTGTAACATTTGATATTCGTAGCCTGAAGTCTGCTCCAACCGATAGAGCAACTGAACAATAGAAGCTCACAGACGTCTCTTCTTTGCTTTTTTCCTATTTTCTCTCGAATTCAAATTAGTTGAGAGAAAAAAAGTAGTTCAATAGTGTTTATATATCGTTCAAAAATTCGAATAATCTCAAAGAATTAGGGATGAAGCTTAGCTTCCAAAACAGAAAAAAGAGCTCTAACATAAAAAACAATTAATCATGCCATTAGCACATTGCATTGGATTGAGTGAAAGCTGCTCAAATATTTCACGTGATGAAAAGACCAGCAGTTGTTTAAGGCCCTGAGGCAATAGAAGAAGATGAACACATTCTTAACATTTTCATTTAATATTCCGAAATTCGTAGCCTAGTCATTTGGCTATGACTATCTGACTCTTTTCAAACTAATTATCATATTTAATTTGTAGAAATAATTATCCAATAAACCTATAATTTCATGAAAGAGGAAGCGAGGATCATCTTCTTTATTGTCTTTTCCCAAATAAAAATGTGAACCCCGAATAGGATAGAATGAATATTTCATTATATTTCTCTCAAAGCATGTCTAAATTAAAGGTTTTTTGAACTCCACCCTCTTCTTTTTTCTTGATCAATTGGAAGCATTTCTACTTCGATTTTTCTGTTTGAGCTTTTTCATTCTTTCTCCAGCTCGTCAGAGCTCCTCTCCACATTCATCTGTCTCATACCCACTGGAGACCTATATATTCTGACTTTGGCTGAAGCAAATATTTTAAAAATTAAAGTTGAACGTTAAATATATAATTTGCATA